CATAGGTGCTTACGGTTGGCAAGTTCACTGAACTAACCCTCTAGAGGATTCCATATAGATGCTAACCCCAATGTCTATGGAATATATCCTCTAATGGATGTTGGTGCATATGATCCTTAGAATTGAGATAATTAGAGCGTCATGTGTAAATATCAGCATAGTTTGACGCTGGCCTAACGTGGTCCTATTTAGGGCACTTAAAGTACGAAAGTGATTGGCTACATTGAGAAGCATATCATGGCTATGGTGGATCGACAAAGGATTCATCACTCTTGGGTACAAGAAAATTTATCTCGCTAAGTAATTCGGTAAATGACAACAACCATAATACTGTAGTATATTTGAAGTTGAAATTAATTTTGTACTTCAAACCTTGATGAGATAATAGTTAAGGAAATGATTCGATTGCACGGTAATTGTATCGTTGACAAGTAGCTGATACGCTGAACCCAAATCTATTGGGCTGCCATGATGCCTGGCTAGAGGCCAATCTTAGTTTGTGTATAATAGACAATGGATTAAGTGTCAATTATGATATTACCCACTACTGATATGATAAGGAGCCTATAGGTCACACACTTAAAAGATAAATTAAAAAAAGATTTGGATTGAGGGCAGTTCGTCGATTCAAGACAATAGGGTAGTTTAGTAATTCTTACGGTGCAATTAAATTTGCTAGAAGGTTATCGCCTATGTCCAATATGATATTGGATTTAATTTGTAACATTACATGTTTATTTAAATAAATAAATAAATAATTCTATATATAGATATAATATATAATATTAGATAGATATATATATATATATATATTGGTGTATATATATTTTAAATAAATAATCATTATTTAAATTTATATATTGGTGTATATACATTTTAAATAGTGAATTGTTATTGTATAATTAAACAATAATAATAAAATACCAAACTAACTTTTTCTTGGGCACTAAGTAAAGTCTAATTATTTATTTATAAATAATAGATATTAGTGGGGGTATTCTTGTATATCACAAGGGACATTAGGGTTAGGGTTTGCCTACAAAAAGAGGCCTTAACCCTTATTTCCTCATAAGCCCAATTTTGCCTCCCAAGCTAAAAGTTGTAAAGAGAAATTTTCTTATAAAATTTTCTTCCCTTTTTCTTCTTTTAACCTTCACTCTCAAACTAGCAAATTGATCGTGTGGGGATTACTGTTTTTGTGCAAATTTCCATTCGTGCGTTTCTCCTCTTCAAGTGGTAGTGTTTTCTACAACACCCGAAAGAGCCTCCAATTGAAGGTTTGATTATAACGTTTGTTTAATCTTATGTATATGTTTGATTTGAATAATTATTAACATCAATCTATGATCCAAGATTATGGGTTTCGAATAAAATTTTTGTTTATTGTTTTGCACTTTATTTGATTAAAACCCTACAGCTTTGGGTTGGCTTTTCTTGAGGGGTGTGGGCATGTCAGGGATGCGTTGGATCATGGCTTCCATCTTAGATAACTGCTTGGCTAACGTTTGCTCAAGGAGGGTTGCCATGGGGGTGTAAAGGCTTGTGTTTTAAAGGTGGGGGAACACATTGGTGTTGATGTGTATGGCCAAGTCGAACGAGAGTGAATTATGGGATGAACCGGCTACTGAATGCAAGGGTTGTGTTTGTGGGAGAGTGAAAGGCGTGTTTAGTTGGTATTGTTGGGATAGGGTCATTTGTGTGAGTGTTTTGGTAGCCGAGAGAGTGATGGGTTAAGTGATCTTGGCTTGGGTCAGCTCGACTAGGTTCATTGTGGTGGTTGGAGTAAGGTTCCATGATCCAGGGTGGTGAACAATTTTCAGCGATAAATAATGAGGCGAGAGGAGGAGGCATGTTGCTGACTCAATGTCCAATCTAGGGAGTAGAATTGATTTACCTTATAAAAAAAGGCTTGGTTCTCTGCACGAATGGCGACGTTTTGAGCTTCTAGTGTTTGGTACTTTTCGTTGCTCTCTTGCACAAGTGTGGTAAGTGTTGCAACCTGAGTTGAGACATCAAGCTAAGGGGTTTCAGTACTTCCAGTCATGATGGCTGAACGGAGGGAGTAAGAATGAAAGGAGTAGGTCATTTTTAGTCGAAAGATTGTTAGGGCCCTATGGTATGTGCCAAACTGTAGACGATAAAATCTACAATTCGAAAAGGACAGATCTTGTGAAAAGCAAGCCACTAACAATCTGGTGGACCTACACAAACAGGGAAAAAGAATGTGAAGGCTTAGGTGACACTGGTGTGGTGTCTAGCATAGGCACTCTGACATTTAAGTTAGCAAGGTTGAAGGTACTTTAGTGAGGGCTAAAAGCGTGAAGGGTTTATCGGAATAATGCAGCTAGGGCTAGACTAACACAAAGTGGCCAGAGCACAGCTTTGTGGTGGAGGGTGGTAAAGTTAGTCGGAACTAAACTTTATGGCAAGAGAGATAGAGATTCTTGGGAGCAAGAACTTTGAGAGCTAAGAGCTATGGGTTATTTTTTAATCCATAATGAGAGGTTTGACCTTCGCTTATACAGTGAACCAAAGAGGTTGGAGTCCTACTAGATGGATGAGTCTCAATCAAGAAAGAAATATTTTCACTTGCCTTTATCAGATTAAGCTTACCACTTCAAGTAAGATTATGGATCTTGATTGCAGTGGAAAGTAAATAGGATTCTGACATATAAAAAATAAACCGATAAAAAATAATAATTTCCTAAAGGTAAACTAAGTTAAAAACCTTTTAGAAATATAGAATTACCAAGATAATAAGAGATTTGTCTAACATCAAAACCATAATTTATTAAGTTTATATATATATATGTTTTACAATTTTTCTACAAGTAATGTGTTCAAATAAATTTATATAATATGGGCCTTATTTTTTTATAATCTAACTACCTTATTTATTTTGTTTTTGGACATTATATTGGATTGAGTAATTAATAAAACAAATAGACTATTTAGGGTGTAATAGTAAGTTTATAAAATTTATGAATTTTTTTGGCATTTTCAGGGATGGCATTGGCCCACCCTGGGCGAATGCTAGCTCCACCACTAAAGATTACAAATGATCAACAATATATAAAAATAAACACCACAACAAACACAAAAAACATCACAACGATCGATATACGGTATTTGACCAAATAGTCTACGTCCACGAGTGATAATATTGTTTCATTACAATAAATCCAATCCTAGAGAGTATTCTCAAGTCTCGACAATAAGCACTGTCAAGTCTCTCTACATTTTATCTATAAAAACTCTAAACTAAAACAAACAAATTTGAGCCAATAAACAACAAAAGCAAATGCTTGTAAATGAAACACGCAATTGATAACTAGAAATCATTAAGCATTAAAAGTATTTTGAACAAAGAACCGCTGAGATATTGGTGTGAGAAGTTAACCATAACCAACAACTTAAGGAATGCTCTTTTTCAACAAGAAGAAAATTTTGCTCTTCACTCATGAAATTAAACATCGTAAGGAGCTGCAATCAAGAAAAGTTAAAATTAATTATCACTGCTATAGTCAGGGTTACATTGAAAATTTAATTTATAATCTTATATATGAAGAGACATTACTTAGCACATTATTCATAGGACAACATTTATAGTAGAACTTGGAATTAATTCATAAACATGCAAAAGTATTGCTCCTGAAATGATACAAAGCTAAGTTGGTGATTCACAATTTTTAAGAAACCGATTTTTCGAGTTCATGAATTCCATCGAAATTTATCAATAAGTACCATGAGATTCAAACCTCATGCAGTTCAGAATTTAAATGCCAGGACTAAACTTGACTAGCTACATGCCATTTTAAAGATTCAATTATCAAACCTATGTAACCAGGAATTAAGATGCCATCGTAGTAAACTAAGAATGTCAATAGATGATCGTCAAAGTTAAACACCATTTAATCATTAATTAAAGAAGAAATGGTATAAAATATGACAATATTATGAGAATTTAATAGTGATTTTTTTTAATGTATGACATTCCTAGGGCTTATAGTGTTTTTAAAATCAAGGTGGACTTTGCTTCAGAAAAATTATCTATATACAATGGACGTCTTCATTTCATTTCTTTAACATACATATCTCAAATCTTAAGACAATCTTATCATACTATTTAAAGCCTTTGCAACAAGAAAATATGTTCTTCAACACACCTGAAAAATGTAATATGTAAGATCATGATCCTCGATGATATGTGGACATACATATATATATATATAGGTGAATATGAGTTTTTCCTATAAAGTGTTCTCTACTTTTGGATTAATCCAAATTTTGAGAATCTGAAATTTAGTACTTCAGAAAAAAAAACATCTATATACAATGGTAGTCTTCATTTCTTGTAAATACATACCTTAATTTTCTCGAAGACAATCCTCTCCTATCACTCTTTTCGCAAGCATATGCACAAACCACTATTTAAAGCCACTGCAACAAGAAATATATATTTTCTTCAACACAAACAGCTGGAAGAATAAAATATGTAAAATAATGATCGTTGACCAAAATTATTATCCAATTTCATTTTAAAGATATCAACAACAAAAGTAAATTTCTCAAGAAAATCATGTTGTGATAATGATACTTGAAGACCATAATTTTGGGCATTATAATCTTGAAACTTCTACTTCTAACTCCTGCAAATATGGTTCAATAAAATTTACTAGTTTATAGAATAGGTAGACATACATATTGTAACAAATATTAGATAGTTCACCACCTATATGAATTTTTGAAATCCACCCATTTTAGAAAATAGAAAGTAATATCAGTGTGAAAATCATATGACTATGCATTTAAATTTCGTCAAAAAGATTGGATGATGAGTTTGGAAGATCTTATTTTATCTCCAGCAAAATTATAGCCATGTATATATACTTGAAAATTAGATGAATGATAATGAAACATAACAAAAGATTGAAACAATTTCTTAAGTATTAACTACAATAATATAGAAATAAAGGAATCGAAATAATCACCTGTGGTCCTTAGGCAATACCGATTTGCTTCCCTCTCTCCACATACTTAAAATTAATCATAATCTTAGGAATAAGAGAGATCTTGTCCCAATCCTGTCCGTAGCGATTATCGTAACGCGCTTTCAACAAAGGACACCAACTGATATTCAATTCATTCAACGTTGCAACCTGAAGAATGTGATCTGGTAATGCCTTCAATTTGGGACAATGTACAAGTGATAAAGAACGAAGACAAGGCATGATTGTAGAATCACAAAATTCTTCCCATATCGCATTAGTTGTCGCTTCCCATTCTTCCCATTTCTCCATGTTGACAAATCTTAGAGCCTTCAATTTAGGGAAGGCAATAAATAATGAATGTGGCGAATTGACGACGCTCTCTCTTCCCAAAAATTCATTATCCACTTTTTTCACGTGCATACTTGTTATAGAAAGTGACTCGAGGGATGACAATTCTCCCAACGAAGGCAAATGGTCTAAGTTCATGCATTCATGGAGATTTAACATTCTCAGCTTCCTTAATGACATTACCCATTTGGGTGAGATTGTCTTGCCCTTGTAGCCTCTAATCTCTAATCTCTCTAAAGTTGAAGGTGGCTGTAAGACTTCAAGAACATTTTCATCCTTATTTGCCGTCTCTTCTTCTGTATCTTTCTCGAAATTTAGATACAAATGAAGGAGGTTTTTCTTGTTCTTAAGTGGTTTTTCTTTCCCAGGATCAACCTTTTCTGTCACATCTCCCAACTTTCTTATACTTAGAGACCCTTGGAGATAGACAAAATTCTCCAAGCATTTAAGGCTACATGCATTGCTAGCATTGACACCACCACTAACAACAAATTCTTTTAATGTACGAAGACAAGTTAATCTTTCCATTCCTTTGGGCATGTAATTCAATGAAGTCTCATCATTTACCACATGCCTTAGATTTATCAACTTTTCCATCCCCTGAGGTAATTTGTTGAGATTGATGCATTGACTGATCTCCAAGGTCTGTAAATCATACAACTCACATAAATCCTCGGGTAATTCTGATATCTTTAGCAAGGAAAAATTAAGATATCTCAAATGGATCAATTTTCCTATCTTCGTTGATGGAATGTTAACAATTGAATCCTCATACAAAAGTTTTCCACTAATATCTAATGCTCTTAATAGCAACAGTTTATCAAAGACTTCCTGTGGCACTGATGAAGAGTTTGTTACCTCACCTTGAACCAAGAGACTGCGCAATTTTGTAAAGCCAAGTATAGAGTTGGGAAATGAGGCTTCCTTACTAAGCATCAACATTGATTGACGAACTTTGTCTTGATAATCGGGATTTGGGCTTGGTTGTTCGTCACCATTGACTTCCATTGCCAAACATTCATGCTTAGTGATAAGTTTGAGAAAATTGTACGCTATCCCATGCATCTTACAACTTATGATACCACCGTCATCGTCTATATCAAACTCTTGAAAAAAAGAGCGTGTTACTAAGTAGTCAAAAAATTCTTGACCCATTAGTTCCATCTCTTTATTGTTTTCTGATCCAAGGTAACCTTGTGCCATCCATAATTTAATTAACTGATCTTTGTTTATCAGGTAATTTTGGGGAAAGATGGCACAATATGAGAGACATCTTTTTACCATGGAAGGTAAATTGATATAACTCAACAAGAAGAAAGGAATGCCAGTCTCAAACTCTTCATCAACTTTCCACATCTCACTGTTTAATATACTTTGCCACTCTAATGTGGTTCTTTTAGAGCACAAGAAACTCCCCATCACTTTTAGGGCGAGAGGCAAGCCCTTGCATTTATCTACAACTTGTTTAACAAAGGGTTCTAACTCTTCACATTGTTTCGGCAACTTATTAAAAAATGCAAACCGTCTAAACAATGATTGACATTCCTCATCAGATAATTCCTTAACAGTGAGAATGTCAGCCGCCTTCATTATTCGTGAAATTGACTCCTTCTGTGTAGTGATCAAAATCTTACTTTCAGAATGACAATTCTCTAGACAATAATGAAGGGGTTTCCACCTGTTGTAATCTTCTATTTGCACATCGTCTAAGACAAGAAGAATTCTTCTTCCAATAATGAGTTTGCATAGATGTTGTAGAAGAGACCCTAAATCTACAAATGCAGGCGTTGCACCTTCTAAAGCTGCAACAATTGCTTTGGCGATCTTGAGCTCATCAAAAATATTTGATGCAGAAACCCATATTTTTTTCTCAAATGTACTTGCTATCTTATCATTTTCATAAACAACTTTAACGAGAGATGTCTTTCCAGTTCCTCTCATCCCTACAAGTGAGATGATATGAGGACCTTTTTGTTTGTCACTACGACTCTCACACAACATACCTATTAGCTTTTGCTTAAGCTCAATTTGACCAATCATCTCAGACTCATCAACCAAGGATATGCATTGGAATGGCTCAGGCTTCTCAACACTCCTCTTCACAGTAAAACCAAACATATTTTTCGCTGTGGCAATACTGCGTAGCCTGCTGTTTAAATCTTTTATCAAGGAAGCTACTTTTTCATTGGGTATACGTAACACCTGGGAAAAGTTTGAGGAAAAATAATTGAAAATGGACACCAACACCATTAATTACTCAAAATTAATCTCTCAACTACATAACTACTCATAAGAAAAACCTTTTAATACAAATTAATGTTTAAATTCCTTTTTTCCCTAATTATACTCATAAGAAAAAGCTTCAAGGCCATATCTTTCTCTTCACATACACTAACAACATTGGCAAAGTCATTCTCTAGGAGTAGCAATATCTACTAGCGTTGAGATTAGATGAAAACTTGTATACTTGGCTATTATGAGGAGTGTGGGAGTGTTGCAATGAAACCATTATCATCACTATAGATGTAGGCCATTTGACGAAACCACAGATATCATTGTGCTGATTTATGTGTTCTCCTTGTATTTATAACTCTTATATATTGCCAACTGTTTGTAATCTTGGATTATTGTTTTAAGCTTGGGATCCTTGGTTAGCATCCACACATCAAGTGTTTGATAAATTGTTTTTTGCACTATCAATTGTCCTAACTGACATTTAAATTCTGTCTATATCAATTTTCCTAACAATCATTTCATTTATCTAATAAAGTAACTAGTTTATGTAAATTAATTTATATAATATAATAACTAATTTATATGAATGAACTTATAATATAAAATTAGTAACTTATGAATTAGCTAATATTAAAAAATTATAGATTTATGAATCAATTATTAATTAATTTTTTTTCCATTAGCAATAGGATGCACCACATCCTATTTGATTGAACTGAAGTTTTTGTGTATTTTATTTTTCTCGTTAAAGATTGCAACATTCACCTAATGAATTACATATCTATTTCAAATTGAATATCATAAAAGTAAATCTTTTAAAATTTACTTTTATGATTATATCTATAAATTACGAGTGGTGTTATTTAATTCCCACCCAACTCTTTCTAAGCCTCAAAATCAATTAGAGAAAATAAAAATTTTAGTTTATTCCAAAATTGCCCTTTTCTATTCCTTCTTAATTTCTCTACTTTCCTATTCCTTCTTATTTCTTCAAGACAATAATTGAATGTTGTGCTAAATCAAATTATTTATCATTAAATTATTAATAATTTGATGAAATAAGAAAACAAGTTCAAGTGGTTTACTTCAAGCCAAAAGTTACAGACAAAGAAGATGAAAGCAGATGTAAAAGGTCTTGAAACAGATTATTAAAAGTTCTAAATTCTAAAATCCATAAAACTAATTTAGTAAATAAACCAGAAACAGGAAAAACAGTATAATTGAATTAAATAAATAGATTGTGATACTAGAATTATAGAATCTTTAAAAGTATCAAAAACTAGAAAAACTTGTTAAAGGTTATGATATAAATAGTACTTTTTGGTAATTTGCATATATAATATATATTTTGAAATTTTGAAAAATTAATAATGGGAAAGAGTTATGGTGAGGCTTGAATAACAATTCATGGAATATTCATATTTGTCACACTTATGAGTTGTGTGTGTGCAACAGTTATATATGCACACTTGTTGTCAACATCTTATGATTTGGCTTGTTTCATTTGTTTTGTGTGTGTGCACATCAGTTATGCGTGCACACTGATTGTCAAACTTATGTTTTGGATTGTTTCGTTTAGAGTGTGTGTGCACAACAGTTTGTGCTTACACTCTTGCTTCAGACATTTGTAACCCAACATGAGTTGCATGTCTGATAAAGTGAAAAATATATTTTTTATCTTTGTCTCTCACATTTTATGACATTTTTACATGTGTCATAGTATCCTTAAGTGGTCCTAGGGATTAAAGTTTTTTTTTCCAATTTGTTTTGTGGTCCAAACCAAAAGAAGTAAGACTTTCCTTATTTGGATAAACATGGGTCAGCCCCTTGTTGGTTGAGATGACACTATAGTGTTGAGCAAGAAACTCTACATTATATAATACACTTTCTTGCGTGTATGAATCTTACATTTTGATATTTTATTTTATTGTACTCTGAAATTTCTTAGAGTATTCTTTCTCTTAAGGTTCATAGGTTCATTTTCATTTTGTGCCAAAACCTCACCATAGACTTGATAGCTCTTGGAACATGGTTCCTTTATTGATGCTGGAGCGTGGCGTCAGTGTTTGAAGCTTAGTGGTTCACAAGTTGTTCTCAAGTGTTTTCTTGACATGAAGAATGTCCAAAGAGTTATTACATTAAGGATTCAAAGTATGGTATTAAGTGTAAAGTTGAACAAAGAGTTATTTTTACTATATCTTAGATCAACTTTGACCTATACCTTGTAATGTGTTTTTAACTTAGTGAATTGCTTCAGACAAGGTCCCAAGGATGAAGGCTAAAAGTGGATTTAGCTAAACCATGCATATAGTTGTGTTTTTTATTTTTCACACTTGTGTTTGATGTGGTTAATTTGGAAATATCTTAACCAACTTGGTAATAATGCCGCTATACTTAAAATGGGTAACTATACACTAAAGCAAGTTAAATCTATAACTCTCTCCCCAACACAACTCTTAATTAAAAAAAAAAAAAAAAAAGGATCAATTAGCAACCAACTAATAGATTAAATAAGCCCCCACTTTTTATTAAAATTTATAATGACAAATTTAACCCTATATAAAAATTATTAAAATTAACTTTAATTTCTTATTCTTTAAAAGCACTTTTGACACCCCACTATTATTTCATAAACCCTAATTTCTTTTGAGAGAATGAATAATAAAGATAGGAATTGAAATATGATATTGTTTGTGGTCACATATAAATATATTGTTATTAAATTCTTCAAAGTATTGGTAGCTACTTTAATCTATATAATTTTTGTATTGTTTAACTCTATTATGTTCTTGGGAATATTTGTAAGGAATTTTTAGCTCTAATTTTTTAGAACTTTCAATTTGATTATCTAGAATTTTGTTTTAGGAATAACCGTGGTTGTTAGGGGTGTGCTAAAGAATCGGCCAGAATTGGAATCGACGGGTACCCGAGTTTCTAGTTCCAATTCCTACTCAAAATTGACCCTCACAAGGTAGGTTTTGGTTCTAGAAATCATGAACCGGCTGGTTCTAGTTCTGGTTTTGGTTCCACCATGTAGAAACCGGGAACCGAAACCAAAACTGGGAATAGGAATCGATCAAGTACCCGAGCAGGAATCAGGACTAAATTATAATTTGTGTAAACTGTTGGGTGTATTTGTAATTTTTAGAGGGTTTATTTGTCATCTTTTAAAAAGTTGGGATAATTAAAATTGACCTTGGTACCCGAAACTGGAACCGGAACTTATGTTTCAGGTTTTGGTTTAGATTCCAAATCCAAGGAACTAGGCGATTTTGCTTCCGGTTCTTACTCAAAACCGACCCTCACAAAGTAGGTTCTAATTCTAGAAATCGGGAACCAGCTGGTTTCGGTTCTGGTTTCGATTCTACCCAATAGGAACCGGAAACCAGAATCGATCAGGTACCCAAGTAGGAGCTGGGACTACAACGTAATGTTTGTAAATATTGGGGGTGTATTTGTAAATTTTAAAGGATTCATTTGTCAATTTTTAAAAGTAGGGTAATTTAAATTAACCTTGGTGCCTAGAACTAGAACCAGAATCTATGTTTTAAGTTTCGGGTCTAGTTCCAAATCGAAGGAATCGGGCGGTTCTAGTTTCAATTCTGATTCCTTTGAATTTGGACGGGTACCCAAACGCGCACACCGCTAGTGGTAGCAGGTGTATAGCATAAGTGAAGGGAATGAAATGTTAACCCTCTTTTAAAATTTAAAAAAAAATATATATATATATTGGATAAGGGCATTTATGAATTTTGTGGGTGCTATAGAAAAAATATTTAGTTTTCAAACTTTGAAATGAGGTGTTTTTAAAAATGAGGCTTTTTCAGTCCGATAGTGGGGGTGCCAAAGCCTAACTGCCAATAACTCCAGTTAAAAAAAAAAAAGAAGTATTTGTGCCTAGCCTACAAAGCCCCTAGCCCGTTCATGTTTGGGCTTAGGCGTGGTATAGTCCATTTGTGTCGTGTCTATCGGGTTGATCTGCGCCTTAAATTTAAAATCGTGTTTGGCTGGCCCAATATAATTCACTGTTCATAATGGGGTGGCCTAGTGCAATAGGCCAAGTGGGCCTAAAAGAAATAGGTCCGGTTGGCATTATACAACTCGTTTGACATGTTTATGGAAAGTTATCTAATCACTCTCTTTTTCTGAAAAAAAAAAATGTATATACTCAATTAAAAGAAACATAATATTCAAAATTTATATAATTTATAAAAAGTATTTAAAATAAAATATAAACAAAAAACAAAAAATTATAAATGCCATAAATTAATAATCGATTATAAAACGTTGAAATAATAAAACTATTTTAGTATTAATCCTGGAACGACACTTATCATAATCTATATTGACATAATTGACCGTTCATTATTTACACAACTATATATACAACACTGATTAAGCATAAACTAACATTTGGTATTAATATACCAAACAAGCTCTTTATCTACCTCGTTGCATCGTCAGAATTTAATATGCAAAGAAGACAAATATATAAAATAAACTTGGAAATACTATTAAAACGCAAGACGAAAAACATACCTCATCAAACGCATCTTCCATATCATACAGTGTGTTTTTCAGCTCATGCAACCAAACCCTCACATTTTCTTCCTTCACTTGTCTTTGCTCAGCATCAATCACCACTTCTTTCATGTCTCGAAGATTGTTTTTGAGCTGCTGTACTTCGGGGTTGACGCCTGCTCCTTCTATCTTTTTTGTTAAAGATGAACTAGATAATTGTTCTAAGACCGCGGAAACAGTTGCATCCACCATGCTTAAAGATTGTAGCTGGGAGGTTGCATCCATCATGCCTAAAGATGGTAACTGGGAGGGTGGATCCCTTCTCAGCATTGTAGCCATATCAACTAGGCACACTCAAGTTAATGAGTTTATAAGAATGGGTAATCCTCTCACACAATAAAGTTTTTTAGGTGAAAAGTTAGACTCAAAAACCAATAAGTGATTATGTTGTGAAAATGCTGCCAATAGCTTCTGTTTGTTTATATTATATAGAAGAAGCCAAAGAATACTTGGGTAATGGGCAAAGTGAGTGCAAACCTTGCTTTGATTCCCCAGTGTTTCTTATTTATCTTTTGCTTTACACTTTCATATCTTGTTTTCTTTAAAGCCTCTGGGCCTAGCTAGATCATTATACATCCTTTTGACATTCCTTTCTGCCAGTTTCATTATTATTATTATTTTTTATGCAATTTATATAGAGAAATATACTTATGATAAATATGAGTTGAGAAACGATAAGAGGCCATCAAAATTTAATATTCTTAACGACAATAGTTAATTATATGATAAAGTCCCATCACCGAATTTTGTTGACGTTGTGGGACAATTTAATAAAACTAGTACATGTATGGTTAAGACGGAGACAAGAATTCAAGTGACAAGGGACAAAATCTGTAAAAAAAAAAGTAATTATAACTTAAAATTTTCTACTTAATGGTAAAAAATAATAACGTGGGAAATTGTTAAAAAATGTGTCTCTAGTGTTTATTATACTATATAGAAGAAGCCAAAGAATACTTCGGTAATAGGGAAAGTGAGTGAAACCTTACTTTGATACTGGTTTTGGTATTTATAATCTTTATATTTCTCCAAGCGATTCCAAAACTCTTCCCTTTTATCTTTAGGTTTTTGCTTTTACACTTTCATATCTTGTTTTTATAAAGCCTCGATCTGGGCCTAGCTAGATCATTATATATGTTTGGGACATTCTTTATTATTATTATTTTGGAATATATAAGAGAGTTATATGAATAAAATGTTTAGGCATACCGTGAATATTATTTCTAATAGGGATAATCACTGAAGCTCTTATTCGACCGATAGTTTCAGGATCCTAAAAGATTAATTGAGGTGCGCGTAAACTGTTCCGGACACTCTTAATCATCAAAAAATTAAAAATTAAAAATTAAAAAGTTTTATCTAGCTTTCATGATAAAATATCATAGCTTTTATTACAATCCCACTATCATGTTTAGATCCCTTAAAAAAATCCATTATTTTAGAGATCTAGTTATCGAGCAAACAATATATGTTATATTTTACTTTCGAATTCAATTGACTCTACTTTCTGTATCATTATAATTAAGTTATGTCCAATTTTAAGTAAAAATATTTTAGACTGCCTGTAGCATCCCAATCCTTGTTCTATTTCAAGAAGGTAGATATTGTCTTTTAAGGGAACATGGCATTTTGCTTGCACTTGAAGGCTGCAGCTACGTTAATTCATTAGAAAAAAAAAAGCCTCTAACAGTAACTCAGTCTGAATTCCTCAAAGGACAATTTGATCAAATCCTCAGCCACGTTCAACTTAAAGGAGGATTTTGAAGCAAAATCTTAGGCAAAGAATTCAACTCCAGATTCAATAGTAACTCATCAATCTTCATTTTTCTCTGAACTTTAGTATCAGCATTTATAAGGAAAAACTGACCCTTTATTTAAAACATGAATTAAAGTTCCAGCTTTTTCTATAATTAAAATTACATACGTTTCCCTTTATACTGGGGTATAATTGTCCGTTTACAGTATTGAGTCAGCAATTTGTTAAAGTTAATAGCAAATAACGCCACCAAATTTATGGCATACAGCCGTACAGCCGTGTAATGCCTTCTCAAGTTTAGGGAGTACTTGTGGCTATATAAATACCCAAATTAGGGTTGACTAAGCTCACAATTATACTGGGCGCCTCCGTTTTTTTTTTTTTTTTTTTTTCGTCTGGGCATCTAACGGAAGGGCTAATGATGGAAAACCCATCGGCGCTCCGTGAGGATATCTAATCTTCTTTGACTGATTCAAGGGTCAATAAGTATCTACTGGCTTGAGCGAATTTCTTTTAGGTAGACTTCTTAAACAATATATAGCATCTGTGAAGGTGTATTAATTTTTCGCACAAACAGCTATCAATTAAAGTATTGCATCCAAGAGTGGGTAATAGCCTGGTTAGCTAGTTATATAAAAGGATATGATCTGTTTACATGAAAACAAAGACCTCCAAAATCAAGATACGGAGAGATTAATTAACAAAATTCTTCATTGTGTAAGCACAATCTAAATTTAAGCTATTACATCGCTTTATAATTGATTCCAAATGACTCTAAAAAAAACTCTAATTCCTATTCTAATTGCATAATAGAATAATTGTAATTCGTATTTTAACTCTCAAAAGAACTCTAATTCTTATTCTAATTGCATAATAGAGTAATTATAATTCATATTTTAAAAGATGTCATAATTGTAAGATACCATACATATCTAATTCCTATAATCGAGTTCTTAATATTATGGCTCCGTTTGGTTCACAATTAGGTGTTTTTGGGAAAAGTTTTCTGAAAAAAGTAAAAAAAAAGTTGAATTGGGCGGGTATTACGATGTAGGATTTATAAATTAATAAAATACCCCCTATATTTGTTTATTTACAAAACACCCCCTATAATAAAATCTTAAAAGTTAACAAAAACACCCCCAACCCAATGTCAAATACGGACAACCGTCCACCACCGCCGGAGGGTGGCCGGGTTCACCCTATTAGCGCATGACCGACTGGATCTTGCCGGTCGTGCGCCGATATGGCCTTTGCCGACCAAATCCACGGTGGATCTGGCCGTCAACGGCCAGATCTGGCCGTATTTTCTCGTCAACGACGAATTGTTGATGGTCAACGACGACCGTTTGTTGGCCGTCGTTATAAACCGTTACGGCCAAAGATCTGGCCGTCAACGGCCAGATCTTTGGCCTTAGATTTGGCCTTTTCCGACCAGATCCACCGTGGATCTGACCGGAAAAGGCTATATCGGCGCACTACCGGCCAGATTCAGCCGGTAGTGCGCCATCCTAACAGATTCCGGCCATTTTCCGACAGTGGTGGCTGGAATCTGGTAAATATGAATTACTGGGGTGTTTTTGTAATTTAAAAAAAAATATTTAGGGGTATTTAATTAAATTATCAAATTTAAGGGGTTTAAAAAAAGTTGAATAATATTGGGAGTAGTATTCCCAAAAATCAAAGTTTTTGGGTATTTTACTGTTTAACTTTTTTGGGAATACTAAAAGTAGTATTCCCAATTGGCAACCAAACGGAGCCATATCTCTTGTAGTGAAATTTATTTAATCATGAACTTCCATTATGGCAAGACATGTCTTGGTCCTCCCCGTTACATAAGATCCAAGCACTCTCTTCGGAGTCGAGTGACTGATGTGTCTAAAAATCCGTTACTAAAAGTAGTAATGCTGAAAAATTGTCTCTAAAAATTCTTACAAAAAAACTTTTCTTAAAACAAAAGACATTTCTTTAGAAAGAAAGTAAATCATAAACTCCAAGTTTGAAAACAAAGCACTGGTCTAAAATCCTACAACCAAATCATAAGAAAATGTACATGTATAAAGTCCGCGGATAATAATCCTTCATGCCGTCAACACTGAAAACATTTAACATGAAATACGTACAAGTAGACTTTGCAAAAAGGGATCTGTACCAACGGATCGGCTCGTACCCGGGTAATTTTTAGAGGTACGGGTTAATATAGTTAAGACCCGTAAATTACCCGTATCCAACCCACCCCCTTTTTTTTACGGGTGGGCTGAGTGATACCCATGGTACCCACACAAAATAAAAGAAAAAATTCTTAAAGGAAAAAGCAATTACAAACTTGAGAGATTACTTCAATTCCCGCTCAATCTCGCCGATTCTTCATTCCCATTATAACTGATGAAATTTATAAAAGTGTCTTCACTTATTTGGAACCATGACTCGTTGAATTTGGTTGGTAGCAGGGCAGCCAAGGATGCATGGTGAAATGTGAACGTGATTTATCCTTTCTCAAGAGGCCTTCTTCCCTTCTCAGGAGCTTCAGATGCTTGTTTATTTTGGTATAGTATATTAGTATACCTTGTTTGGTTGCTTAGAAAATGCGGGAAAATAAGAGAAACTTTGAAAATCTGATAGTATAAGAGAGGTTTGATGGTCTGGAGAGAGGATAAAAATGAGATTGATTTATTGGGGAAAAAATCAACAGGAAATGTTTTCTCGATAAGAAAGTTGAAGAAAAGAGGGGAAAGCTTTTAGTTGTTAACCGTTAAACAAACTTTGAAAATCCAGGAAATCTACGTTCTCGAATTGGCCCCCCGCTTCAAAGTTTTCACCTTGACATTTTAACAAACATGATAAATGCATTATTGGTTTGCTTCGTAACAAACACTTAGAAACGGGTGACCCGTGGGTCCACAGTATCCGCATGACCCGGTATGGGTGGTGTATTTCCTTCACATTTTTTCCCCCATTTGGCCCGTATCCATGGTTACCCAACCCGCCCGTTTGCCAGGTCTACGTACAAGGTGTCCCAGTATAATGTGTTATAACATACTATTAAAAGAGAAAACAAAACAGAGTATTACAATATTAAGAGGGTAAACACATTATATATAATTGCAATGGGTGATGAAATATATAATTTAAGTTGATATACGTTGTAGACATTCATTATTATACAAATATTCATAATAGCCATATATAAAGTTAAAAATAAAATCCAAGCAGCAAATCACTGTGTAAATAACTTCAAATAAAAATATCGCAAACAATTTTCCATAATTTTAAAAGCATATCAACACCAATATGATCTTACACTAGATTGCGCATCGTCCACTCTAGACCCCTTGCCTCCAAGAGTTTTTCAATCCTAGGACACAAATAAGAAAATTAGGAAAAAAAAAAAACAATAATATATAATATTATATTAATTCACGCTTCTTCGGAATAAGATAATGCAAATTAGCTATAAAAACTCACCCATGGAGGATGTGTTTCCAAATTCTGTTCATTAATTATGTGCTGCTGCTCGCTGATGATTTCTTTGACTTTAGAAACAAATTCCTTTTTCATATTCGTTAACTTCAACTCCTTCAATGTGCTCAAGTTCTCCAGGCCTTCGGTCTTCTCCAGTTTCGGACAATATCTGATCTCTAATTCACTTAGCACAGGCATGGCTCCTTTCTCAATTGTCCACTCCTCCAGCTTCATAAGCACCCATATCTTCAAGACTCGAAGTTTAGGAAAATTTTCCCCTTTACAAATCATATTCTTCCCTGTGTAGGAATGAGCTAAAAGCCTCAGGATGTTAAGGTTCTTAAGCTTACCTAATTCTGGCATTGGGTCATCTTTTAGATTTGACACTGACAAGGTTAGGATCTTGAGAGATAGAGGAAGTTTGATTTCTTTAATCACACATGAAAACTATCCAAGTAAATACAATTCTGTGAGGTGAAGGAGCTTCTTAATGGAACCCAACTTGAGATTTGAAGGTTCACTATAATCATTTACGGATCTCAACCTCAGCGTTTGAAGATCGGTGAGGCTACAGATCCAGATAGATATAGCTTCAATTGATTTTGAATGGCATGTCAATCCCAATTTCTTAAGACTCTTCAAGCTATCCAACCAGTATCCTGGAGGCTTCTTAAATCCAATTAAAAGGCCCCATATGGTCTGAACGTTGTCAGGTAAAGAAACTCCTGACGATATTTTTTCCGGAAATTCAAAATGAATTTCGTTCATGTAGAGATGCCGAAGTTTCTTCGTCTTCCAGATGGACATTGGCAATGTGGTGATGTTCGTGTGCTTCACATCTAACGTCTCGAGGTCGGAAAGCTCACCAACTGAATCAGGAATTCCGTCCAGAAATGTCCATCTGAGACCCACATAAGTTAGAAGAGGAAGCTTCCCAAGTTCAGGAAGAACTGGTTTGTATACACCTTCAAGATCAAGCACTCTCAGCAATCCAAACCCTAATCTCTTCGATATCGTCTTGTTCAAAAACTCGCTTACTTCTTTTGCAGGTTTATCACTCTTTCTGGTTTTGAAAGATATAAAAGACCGTAGATATTCAATGTCCTTACTCGGAGGAGGGTTGTTTTTTATGTCAAAATGCTCGGCTAGCCGGCGGATATTCAAGTTTTTTGAAGTAGATGCAGAATCCGATTTTCTATGGATGTGAAAAAGTCCCTTCTCTTCAGCATCAGGACAGAAGGCGTCACGCAATGTAATTGGTATTCGACAAGTTTTAGCCGTTCCATCTAATCTCCGTTTCGCTACTTCAATCATGCTCCTAGCCTCCAGTTCTCCAAAATATTTTTTTACCTCATCTTCAGGGGCCGTTTGTTCTCCATCTGTACTACTTTTTTTCACCAATCCTTCAGCGACCCATAACTGAAGAATCCTTCTTACAGGAATCTCATATGATTTGGGAAAGAGACTTAAATAATGGAGACATGCCTTTAAATGAGGAGACAGATCCTTGTAGCCCAGAGCCCAAATTTGTGAAGTATCCAATTTACCCAAGGAAGATAACACATCTTCAGATATAGAGTGATCTGCATTCATATCCTGCAGTTTAAGGTCTCCCTTTTCCTCTCCTGCTGGCATGATTTTATCAATCTCTTGTGGCCATTCAGAAATATTGTTCAACTTTTTACTATACAACACTCCACCCAGCACGCATATTGCAAGAGGCAAACCACAACATTTTTTCCACAATGGTTTCCTGATAAACTTTTCCAGGTCTTCTTCACTGCTTTTATCCTGTTTCGCCTTCTTCAAGAACAACTTCCAACCGTCGTCTTCTTTTAGCAGATCGAGCTTGAGAAGAGCAACCGATAGACCGAAGCAGCGAGCAAGATAAGCGTCACGGGTAATAAGAATCACCCTGGAACCAGTGTTTGTATTTTTTGAAACGATCGTTTCAAGATTGTACCAAACATTGAGCGCATAGACATTATCCAACACTATCAGAAACCTCTTCCCATTTAACTTTTGATTAAGCTTAGTTCCCAAATTTTCAAGATCAGTCGATTCGTCTTCTTCCTTAACTTGTGAAACCTGTTTTAATATCTCCATGAAGACATTTCTCATCCCCAAATCTTGGAAAGCGTGAAGATCAACCCAAGCACGGCTTTCAAACTGTTGCTTTACAAATGAATTATCGAAAAATGTTTTCACTAGAGTAGTCTTGCCGGAGCCTGCTAAACCCACAACTGAGATCAAAAAATGATTTTCACTCGTTTTAAGAGTTAACTGACCTAATTTATTTAGTTTATCCTTTAGCCCAACAATATCATTGCCATCGTCCTTGTCCAAATATTTGAAAGCTCCACCCAGGCGCGTGTCGAGCTCCCAATCGATCTCTATCTTGTTATCAATATCATCGCCCCCACTCTTCTCGCTTTGAGTTGATGCAAATTCAGTATCTTCCCATTTGAGCCTTAAAAGTTCTCTTCCAAAGAATCTTACTTCTGGGTACCGCGCTGCATCAGCTTCTTGAAAACTGAAAATAATTCGGCTACCATTTGATGAATTTGGAAAAGCATGCTTGATAATCTCCCAAATATCAGGCGTCCGGACGTCGCGCAACACTACCAAATACCTCTTCTTGTGCAGCTCCTGTTGCAGTGACGACTCAAGAGGGAATTTTTTCTCTCCTTCGTTCCCTGTAACCTTTTTCAGTACATGTCTGAGAACTTTTTCTTTCGAAAATATCAGATAAACGAACCCAAACACGACAAGCAAATCGCTTCTTGACATCCTCTGTGTATAAGTCCGGACAACAGAGATTTATTAGCAGAATCTTCAACCACAAAAATGTGAAAAGGCGGATGAGGATTGACGATAAATTCGGCCAGCTCCTTTGCTCTACCCTCCACATCCAAACTATCGGATTTCTTCTCAGGATTATGAACATTGCCAGCGAACCTCTTCAATGATTCTTGAACATCCAACCTACTAAATAACTTTCCTTGAGACAATCACGGCCTTTCTGACATCTTTCACAAATTGATCCTTCTTACAATGAAAAACACCCTGTTTCTGAAACGCTGTTCCAAAGGGAAGGTGTCAATGGCGTCTCTGCCAGGTAAATAGCTTGTACAATCCAGTATTCAAGGCTCCAAAACCATCAACTTGCTCTTCGAGTTTTATTATTTCATCAAGTCTCTGGGGAATTGCTTGATGAAATTTGGGTCCATAATTTGTTTAATATTCTTCTAGCTTGTCTTTCAGACTATTCAGAATGGTTATTTTGCAGCCATGGATTCCTCAACTTCCTCGTTCCTTTACTGCATAAAATTACACCAATTTCATGAATAGAAGCTCATTTGTGAACAAGACAAACGGATTTAAAGAAACAAGGAAAGAAATTTTTTTATAGCTTTGTATGACCATTGCACGTGGATTTAAACTAAGCGGGAGTGTGGGGTTGCTCGTAGCTTCTCTTCTATCACTTGTTCCCCGATTTACTTTAAATGTGTTTGGTAAACACATTTCAAAAGTGATTATAAGAGAAAGTAGATTGCTCTATAATTTATTTTATTGAAAGACTTCGAAAGAAGTATTTTAGAGCTTATGGTTTCAAAAGTTGCTTTTAGAGGAGTTAATTAACAAAATACTCCAAAGTAAACTTAAATTCTAATTTTTTAATTAACAAATTTAAATAAAATAATAAAAAGATATTAAAAACAAATAAGCTAGATCTGGCCGACAATGTCGTTAACCACTATGGCGTTTTGCCACAACAGGTCTACTAACACTTTGCCGACCCGTTGTGGCAAAGCACTACAGTACTTGACATCACAATTGACACCAATGTGTAAATAACTAGCGACATTCTAGTCGGAGATCCGTCGGCTAGATTTCAACTTTTTAAAATTTTAAGCTTTTTATTTAAAAAAAAATTAAAATATAATATGATTAATAATAATAATAAAAAAGTTTATTTATAAAATATCCACTTTAGTTTTTTCGCATAGGTTATATCTCAGCTCTTAATAGAACAAGTAAAAATTTAACAGACAAACACCTCATATGCTAATTTTTTTGTTAGTTAACCTATAACTGATTATGGGATAAACTACAACAATCCCTACAACAATCCCAAAATGGAAAAATACCCAAAATCTAGTCCCCATAGCTTAACAAACAATACATACAAATAAAAATAAAAATAAAAAAAGCATGAAAAATGAAGATTATAAGAGATTTATGTGAGCTACCGAATGGGTTGCATGTATCTACAGTGACAACAGCCAATATTCCACCAATAAAGGTTAAAAGAGTCCAAGATAAAAGCCACTCAACTCTGATTTCATATATTTGCTCTCTCTAAAGGCTTTCTCTTAGGAGTGTATTATCAAAACGAGAATTTGTACTCTTATTATCTTATTTTAAGGTCTTAACTTCCGTTGATGGCTTAAACATACAAGATCTTTCCTTGTTGAAAATAACTACAGATATTAAGAAAAAAACACTCAAAATAGGAAAAAACAATTAACTACAAATATTCTGTAACTCGCTCTTATCTTATTTTAAGGTTTTAACTTCAATCGATAATGTTATGCAGGAAATATTAGAAGACTTATGGAGTTGCTGCATTAATTTGTTGTGGAGAATTGACAATGGAGAAAAATAAAGAAACTTAAACAACTTTTTATTTTTTAATTTTTGGAAGAGGATAAGGAAAGAGGCTACTTTTTCCTTCTCTATTTGTTCCTACAGCTTGGAAGTTTAACATACAGTATCGATTTGTATTGAGAATTCAGTCGTATTTTATGGATTTAAGCATTTCAATTATTAATATACTCTTGAAAAAAGGGGGAAACTGCTAAGCTTGGCGGATAGAGGACCAGGCGTTATTTAATGTGGAACGAGCGTTCCAAGATGAACAGTCTTGAAGAACAAGACCGTTTCATATGGAACGGTTTGCTTGGAATTTTGCTCAAATTGGATAGACTGTGTAACAGTTTGGGGAACGAGGTCGTTCCATATGGAACGGCTTGCCTCGAGCTTTGCTCATATTAGGCAGAGTGTGGAATGGCTTGAGGAACGGGGTTGTTCCATATGGAACGGCTTGCCTAGATAGAGGAACAAGTGCTCCTTAATGGGAACGGGCATCCCATGGCGAAAGGTGCTGAATTCTTCTAAACAAGGGCTAGACCCAAAGTGAACAATATATACTTGGTTGGAAACAATATGTTACATCTTTAGCCTCACAAGTGAAACAAATTAAATACACTGTTAAAACAAAGTAATTAGCAAAAGATATCTCATATTCTTTAAATGTCATTTATTTCTGAGAAAAAGTGTTATTCATTAGAGAAGTAGTTTTATAGTTTTTAGTGGTTTAATAAATTCATTCCAGTCTTTGCAAGTAAATATTTTCCTTATATTAAATCTTGTGAACTGTGTTGATTATTTTTATTTATTTTTTCATTTGTAATAATTTTTATTATTCACGCTTTCCTGTTCTAATTAAATTTTGAATTTATCGTGACTTGAGTTGTGTCAATTAATTCTTAAAAAAAAAAAAAAAAGGTCAAATCAATAATGTATCTTATCATTTTGAGTGAAAATCATAATTCTGGTATTAATGAATGAGTAATGCTACATGTACAACCTAATTATACATTTATAATTCTTATCCACTAAAATCATATAAAACACTAGTTTCAATTTTCCTTTCAACATTTAGATTTTGGACTCATCTATATATTCATTAAAAGAAGATTCTTGTGGATAGGAATTTTTCTGAGATTCTTACTAGTGTAAAATCAAATATATAAACATCCAAACTGCAGAGCTTCCCTTTACTATTTCAAATTTGTTATTAAGATTTTCAAATCTATAAAAGACTTGAATCCTTATAGACAATAAAATATTTTAACAACTAAACAATGTGTTAAAATCCTATCATTTTTGCATCACTTTGTACACAACATTTCTAGATAATTATCGTGAGAATAATAATCTAAGTGATAAAAATGAGGAAAAATGATCATAATTAGATAATAATAGTATAATTAGCTTGCCTTAATTTCACTTTTCGGTAGAGGCTAGAGCTGATCTTCTAGCTTCACTTCCACTGCCTTCACCAATTCCGGGGCTTTTGTATTACGATCTTATATTCTTTGTTGGCTCTGATAGCAGATTAAGTTTTGCAACTCATTCTAAAATTATTGAAGGTACAAAATTAGCAAAATATATTTTAAAAGATGATAATATTGATAAACCATAATTGACATTGGACATAATATCTTTTACCTTTCTCAACCTCTCCTTTCATTGTAGAAATCAGCATAAAATTGTGGGATAATCTTTGAATAGTGCTTGCTTAATTTTCTTCTATTGTTTGAATAAAAATGCATATTGTTTTTCAAAGTGGAAGTTTAAAAGACTAAATTATAGGTGAAGAAGAACTAATGAATGCATTTCCCCACTTCCCAAATACAAGAATATGATGCAAAGAGTGGAAAACAAGTAAAGTATAAAAGAAGTACAGCAAAATGTAAGAAAGAATCGAAAGAATAAGCTTTATTTGAGTTTGACAAGCAGCATATGTTTCTTTCTTCTGTCAAAAGAAAAGATCCCAAAAGTATCCCCCTGAAGCAATTTTAAAATACTAGAGATTATTCTTTTTGATTTCATAGAATTTTCTTGATCCTTAAAATGTTTTTGTTATCGAGAAAAAATCAATCATCCCTATGTTGTTTAAGAAAGTCTCAGGTTGTGGGTGAGACATCACTTAAGCTAAACTTGAAGGGGAGAATGGTTTTCTCAATGTATAGTGTGAGTTTACAAACTTTGCAAAAAAGTTCTCTAGTTGTCTTAAATAAAATTTCTCTTCTCTTTTGAAAATTGCCGTCTTAACATCTATCTAGTAAAACTTCATTTTAGTTTATACCCTATTGTTGGTTATACCTTTTTGCCACAAGACGAACCTTATCCTAATGGACCAATTAGTCTTTTACTTGACTTCAAAGAAGTATGTATGTATAATTGTAATTTCTTTTGAAAACATATAATGAACTTATTAATATGCTAATACTAAAATATTCAAAAGAGTCTTGAATAGACTATGCCTAGAATGCTATTGGTGGCCCATAATTCCTAGCGATCAAAATCTCAAATTTATTCTTTCAGGTTTATATATATAATATATTACTTCAATTTTAATTTTATACTCGACATTTTTTAAATTTAATTGCCAAAAGAATGGAGAGGAGACTTTGTGATGGTTGAGGCAATCTCCAAAGTTTTAGAGGGTGTAAATGTGAATTGCCCTTATGAAAGAACACAAACTATATCTGTATATATATTTATTAAAAAAGTTTAACATTAACAAGAAGTTGATATACAAATTTGTACCAAGTTGAAATCTCTATAAACTCAAATGAAAGTATTCTTCTTTGGTTTCCACCTTGTTTTCATATAAACTCAATAAATGCTAACTAGGCAAATTCTTCAATATAAACTAATGTGACACAAAATGAATGGATAAATTTGTACATAGAATCAACTCAATAAATGTTAATTAATATAGATAAATGATGTGACAATAAAAGAGTTTTATCACATCAATTTGTATACTAGAGTTTGCATAACGTAATTTGTGCATATAGCACCACTTTTTATATATATATTTACCTACTAAGTACTGCGAGTTACATATCTTTATCAAAAAATTCTTACCTATTGAGTTCTTTTTTTTCTTTTCTTTTTTTAACAAAGTAATATCAAATCTGCGTTCTAAATAT